CCTTGAGATAGTCCTTGAAAAAATATTCTTTAATAAATCCACGCCTTGAGATAGTCCTTGAAAAAATATTCTTTAATAAATCCACGCCTTGAGATAGTCCTTGAAAAAATATTCTTTAATAAATCCACGCCTTAGTCCTTGAAAAAATAAATCCACGCCTTGAGATAGTCCTTGAAAAAATATTCCTTGAAAAAATATTCTTTAATAAATCCACGCCTTGAGATAGTCCTTGAAAAAATATTCTTTAATAAATCCACGCCTTGAGATAGTCCTTGAAAAAATATTCTTTAATAAATCCACGCCTTGAGATAGTCCTTGAAAAAATATTCTTTAATAAATCCACGCCTTGAGATAGTCTTTGAAAAAATAATAAATCCACGCCTTCAAATAGTCCTTGAAAAAATATTCTTTAAAAAATCCACGCCTTGAGATAGTCCTTGAAAAAATATTCTTTAATAAATCCACGCCTTGAGATAGTCCTTGAAAAAATATTCTTTAATAAATCCACGCCTTGAGATAGTCCTTGAAAAAATATTCTTTAATAAATCCACGCCTTGAGATAGTCCTTGAAAAAATATTCTTTAATAAATCCACGCCTTGAGATAGTCCTTGAAAAAATATTCTTTAATAAATCCACGCCTTGAGATAGTCCTTGAAAAAATATTCTTTAATAAATCCACGCCTTGCATATTCTTTAATAAATCCACGCCTTGAGATAGTCCTTGAAAAAATATTCTTTAATAAATCCACGCCTTGAGATAGTCCTTGAAAAAATATTCTTTAATAAATCCACGCCTTGAGATAGTCCTTGAAAAAATATTCTTTAATAAATCCACGCCTTGAGATAGTCCTTGAAAAAATATTCTTTAATAAATCCACGCCTTGAGATAGTCCTTGAAAAAATATTCTTTAATAAATCCACGCCTTGAGATAGTCCTTGAAAAAATATTCTTTAATAAATCCACGCCTTGAGATAGTCCTTGAAAAAATATTCTTTAATAAATCCACGCCTTGAGATAGTCCTTGAAAAAATATTCTTTAATAAATCCACGCCTTGAGATAGTCCTTGAAAAAATATTCTTTAATAAATCCACGCCTTGAGATAGTCCTTGATTAGTCTGAAAAAATTAATAAATCTTTAAAAAATCTACGCCTATTGGTCAGATAGTCCTTGAAAAAATTTTCTTTAAAAAATCTACGCCTATTGGTCTGATAGTCCTTGAAAAAATTTTCTTTAAAAATCTACGCCTACTGGTCAGATGGTCCTTGATAAACTATCTATAAAAAATCTACGCCTATTGGTCAGATAGTCCTTGAAAATAATTTCTTTAAAAAATCGATGCCTATTGGTCAGATAGTCCTTGAAAATATTTTCTTTAAAAAATCGATGCCTATTGGTCAGATAGTCCTTGAATTTTTTTAAATCTACACCTATTGGTCAGAAGGTTCTTGAAAAAATTTTCTTTAAAATATCTACGCCTATTGGTCAGATAGTCCTTGAATTTTTTTTAAATCTACGCCTATTGGTCAGAAGGTTCGTGAAAAAATTTTCTTTAAAATATCTACGCCTATTGGTCAGGTAGTCCTTGAAAAAATTTTCTTTAACAAATCTGCGCCTATTGGTCAGATAGTCCTTGAAAAAATTTTCTTTAAAAAATCTACGCCTGTTGGTCAGATAATCCTTGAAAAATGTTCTTTAAAAATCAAAGCCTATTGGTCAGATATTCCTTGAAAATTTTTTCTTTAAGAAATCAAGGCCTATTTCCAGATAGTCCTTGAAAAAATGTTCTTTCAAAAATCTACGCCTATTGGTCAGATAGTCTTTGAAAAAAAACTTCTTTAAAAATCTACGCCTATTGGTGAGATAGTCCTTGACCCTTATAGGGAGTCCATGAAAAAACCTTGTCAGATAGTTTTTGAAAAAAATTCGACCATTTTGCTTGACCAATTTTGGAATTTCAAACCGGCCACTATCGACCACAAATATCGAAAAGATCGTTGAAAAAAGGCTACCATGGCGATATCTTACAAACAATAACAACAAACTTTCATACAATTTTAACTACTGCCTATTTTCTTTTCGATGTCTCAGCATGGCTCAGCTTCAACTTGTCTGCTTGCTACTACCACTTTTTCTTCGTTGAAAGAAGAAGAAAAAAATTAGTTGCGTTACGTGACTATTGTTGTCTTTGGGATTTTTTCTTTTCATTCAGCCGGTTTTATAGCGTAACTGGCATAATAGTTTTATTTTAAATATATACGACCAAATCTTCATACATACAGACATACATATGTATGTAATTTTATAATACTTGCAATGTTAGTCAATTTGTAATATTCAGTAGCAGGCCGTCCTGCTAAGTCGTTACAACTGTTTTTGTGGGCTTTGTTTTGCTGGTCACACATCTACCGATTATTGTAGCACACGTTTTGACTTGGCTCGAGATTTTAGTAACCCGAAAACCTACATTTCCACTAGACCACCAGCTGTTCGGTATGTGAGTAATTGTGGCCAGACGTGTGCTGCACTCCGCCGCTTTGATGGGTAGTTTGTGTCGCGTGCTTAAAACCATGTGACGTTTATAATAAAACCGGTATTTATGCGGAAGCTGTTTACAAATAAGTTAACAATCTGATGTAAAACACTTAATTTCAGCAATATTGAAGAGTTTTGAATATTTAATGGCGATACAAAATATGTAGATATGTAAACAACATAATTACACATTGTCAATGAAACAGAAGGTATTAAGATGCAACTTGGATGATAATTTTTTATCATTATTTTTTTATTTTTTTATAAGCCTGTCGGATTCGATCTGATTTATACAATTAAATGTTTTAAATATTTATCAAAGCCATAGGCATGGATTTAAAAAAAAAAAACTTTTTTAAAAACATGTTTTCAAGAACTATCCACAGCACTATCCATAAGCGAGGATTTTTTAAGAGATTATCCATAAGCGGGGTTTTTTTTTAAATATTTTTTTTAAGTACTATCTAAAGTCGTGATTTTTTTAAAGAATATTTTCTTAAGATTTTTATATAATTTTAATTATAAATATTTCATGCAAGCATTTTTTTATATAAATAAATATTTTCAGGGATTTCTGCAATTTTTACAAGTTTAAATTTTGGAACTCTAAGGTTGGCTCTTGTAAAAACTTTTTTTTAGAAATTACCACTATCTTCGATTTTATATTATTTCCATCAAGTTTTATTGAAAACTTGCATATGCACGCATCTTCGTTAGCGAATGTTGGAAATTGCATATGTCAGAAAAAACAATCCACACATTAATATCGGTCATAGTACCATTTAGTACCAAATTTCATGATTTGAGCTCTAAAGGTTCACCCATATCCAAAATTTCCATTTAGCACACATTATTTCCATAAGTACCCTCTTCAACCATCCAACAAAACTTCATGCATACTCCGAACCTACACCCCCACAATGATGATTCCAAATTCAAATTTCAGGATTCCAACTCCACTGGATCACCCACAATTAAAACTGTATCAAATTTAGTACACAGTAGTACGAATTTTCCAAACTTCCTACATACCCAAACCTAAACACCGATAGTAATTCTAAATCCAAGTTTCAGGATTCTAACTTTATCGATTCACCCACAATTCTAATTGTAGCAAATTTAGTACACAGTAGTACTTATTTTCAAAACCTCCTTCCTACCCAAAACCTACATCTGCCACAGTCATCCTAAATCCAAGTTCCAGGATTCCAACTCTATTAGTGCACCCACAATTCAAATTGTACCAAATTTAGTACATAGTTGTACCAATTTCCAAAACTTCCTACATACCCCAATCCTACACCCCCACAGTCATCCCAAAATCCATGTTTCAAGATTCCAACTTTATCGATTGACCCACAATTCAAATTGTACCAAATTTAGTACACAGTAGTACGAATTTCCAAAACTTCCTACATACCCCAATCCTACACCTCCACAATGGTCCTAAATAAAAATTTCATCACTTCATCGCTTCACCCACAATTTAAATTGTAACAAATTTAGTACACATTAGTACGAATTTCTAAAACTTCTAACATATTTCAATCTTACACCTCCACATTGATCCTGACTCCAATTTCATGATTCTTGCTCTATTGGTTCACCTAAAATTCAAATTGTACCAAATTTAGTACCATTTAGTAACCATAAGTATTAATTTGTTAAACTGAATCCTGACCCTAATCCTACATCCCTACAATGATCCTAACTCAAAATTTCATTGTTCCAGCTCTATCGGTTCACCCAAATACAAATTGTACCTATTATAGTACGGTTTAGTACTTTTCGTACACATAAGCAAATATTTTCCAAAACTGCGTACATATCCTAATCCTACACTCCCACGGTAATGTTACTTTCAATTTTCAGGATTCCACCTCGATTTGTACCTTCAAATCAAATTTGTACCAAATATAGTACTTTTCGTACACATGTGTACACGCTTTCCTAACTCTCCTCATATCGACCCTACTTCTCAACCTTAATTTGCATTCCAAATTTGAAGTTTTTAGCTCAATCCATTCACATGCTACGAAATAGTACCAAATTTAGTACATTTCAGTACTTTTCGGATACTCATAGTTCGAATTTCCAAAAAGCCCTTTGCTACATCTGGTGCCTTCAACGAACACCAATCCAAAATTTCAGAGTTCTAGCTCTACTGGTTCGCCAAATACAAATGGTATCACATTTAGTACATTTTATTACTTTTCGTACCATTCTAGTGCGAATTTCCAAAAACCCAGCCTTATCTGACGCCTTAGGATCCTCACCTAAAATTTCACGATTCTAGCGTCAGCCGTTTCGTCTGGGCGTTGCTGAATCGTTAAATCAGTTAGTCAATCACTTTACTCTTTTATTAGCATAGATTATAAAATCAATGGTGTAACAAAAAACATTTCGGAATTAACCTCTCTTGTCAACATTGACTACACCAAATGCCAAGCCGCCATCTACTCACCTTCAAATGTTTCATTTCTTTTGCCAGCTTTAACATATCGATCGTCGCTTCAACATTTATTTGCGTTGCATTGCTTAACGGTTCATTGAAACGAACTGTGGCGGCGCTATGAATCACCACATCAACATTCTCGATTAACTCTTGACGATCCTCATGGGATATACCCAAATTGGGTAGGGTACAATCACCGGCAATCGTTTTGATGAATTTCAGGGAATTGGGGCGAGCGGCATGTAATTTTTCAAATACCTTTAACAAATCAAAAATAATTATTTTTAAATAAAATATTTTGTCAATAAATTTGTCACATAACTCACAGGCTCCTTGAAGATCTGGGCAAATCGTTCGCTAGCATCTTTGCCAGATTTGGGACGGGCCAACACGTAAATGTACTGCACTTCAGTTGAACGCAACAACTTCTCAATGAATACTGTAACAAAAGTATGGAAGCAATACAAAACAAAAATTAAGAAAATGAAAGGAGATAATATAAAAAGTAGTAAAATGGGAATAAAAAAGAAGAAGAATTGAAAAGTAACGGTAGATAAGTAATAAAAAATACACTGAGAAAAATTAAATTTAAAAATTTTGATTTTTTGCCAGTCTGCTGAGGGCGATTATTTAAAATCCTTTTATATAGAAGGCGTGGATTTTTTTAATATTTTTCTAAGGTTCAACTATAGTCGAAGATTTTTTATACCCTACACAACTATGTTGTCAGGCTATTATAGCTTTGTGCAGCCCCAAGAGTTTGTAACGCTGCGAAATACTGGAATACCTAGACCCACCTTTAAGTATATCGATCGTCACATGTGTGTCCGTCCGTCCGTCTATCCATTATAATTTGTAAACACGATACAGGCCCCAGTTATTGGTCCTTCACGACATTTTGCATGTAGGATGGGTTCGGCCTATCTATTGTTTTTGATAAAGATCGGTTAATATATAGGGGTTGAAATGGACCAAAAACTTTATTTTTGTCTGATTTTCTGGTCGCTCCATAGGCCGCAAATTTGGTCCATACATCGCAATTTTTACATGGAGAAGGGGATCGGGCCAAAGAATAGGCATTCCTATTTTGATAAAGATCGGTCAATATTTAGCGGGTCAAATGGACCCTAACTTTTGTGTGAAAAATTACAAAATATGTATTCTATTGCGTATAGATTTACCCCTGAAGGACATAGACCCTAGACTCCTCCAAGAGGAGTGGTTGACCTTTAAATTGATACCAATTATATGGTCGTATGTACTCGGATGTGGGAGTTAGGGCGGAAATATAGCGCTGATCGCTTTGAAAGTTTCCATGAGGATCCAGGCATGCCAAGGTTAACGCCTATAATTATCGTTGATGAACAAATAATTAGTTTTTTGATGAATTGAACCGAAAACTTATTTTTTGTGTTTTTTCGAGTCGATCTATAGACAACAATTGAAAGCCGAAAATCATAACACAAGCCACGGTGAGGGGAATCTGAACAAGTAATTAGAAGGGCTGTACTGAATATTTGTTGACCTCTAGTCAGTCAAGAGGGTGCAACTATCGCGAAATATTTCCCAGGCTTGGAATAAAAATCCGCAGAAAGTTAGAGTTCCGTGGTAGTTGTGTGGGGTATCGCATGGTCGGCCCCGTCCGACTATACTGCTCCGACTATAGACTGCAAACATAACCAGTTTAACCGCTGGTTAAACTGGTTATGTTTGCAGTCTACCTAAAGGCGTGGATTTTCTAAAAAAATATTTACCTAAGGTCCATTCATAGGCGCGGATTTTTTTAAAAGGTCCACCTAGAGGCATGGATTTCTTAAAAATATGTGTCTTAGATCCACCAATGGATTTTTACACCCTTCACCACACTGTGAAACAGAGTATTATGTCATTGTGCATATGTTTGTAACAGGCAAAAGGAAACGAGATTGACACATGGTTCATTTTGAGAATATGCATAGAATCAAATTTTAAATCGATTTATGCATGTCCGTCCGTCTTTCCATGTTAAATTGTAAACAAATTACATGTCGCATTTATGAACCGAATTAGATGAAATTTAGATATAGCTTCCATATATATTTTCGTCCGATTTAAGGTAAATGGTGCACCAAAGTCCCCAAATATCAGATCGATTTGCACGAAATTTGGCACAGCGTACTGAATTAAGCCTAGAATGATGTGTGCTAAGTTTCGTGAAAATAAGTTCAGTTTTAGATATAGCTCCCATATATATTTTCTTCCGATTTAAGGTAAATTGTGTACCAAAGCCCTCAAATATCTTTCGATTTGCACGAAATTTGGCACAGCGTACTGAATTAAGCCTAGAATGATGTGCGTTAAGTTTCATGAAAATCGGTTAAGATTTAGATATAGCTCCCATATATATTTTCGTCCGATTTAAGGTAAATGGTGTACCAAAGTCCCTATATATCCTTCGAATTGCACGAAATTTGGAACAGCATAATGAATTAGGTCTAGAATGATGTGTGTTAAGTTTCATGAAAATCGGTTAAGATTTAGATATAGCTCCCATATATATTTTCGTCCGATTTAAGGTAAATGGTGCACCAAAGTCCCCAAATATCTTTCGATTTGCACGAAATTTGGAACAGCGTACTGAATTAGGCCTAGAATGATGTGTGCTAAGTTTCGTGAAAATCGGTTCAGATTTCGATAAAGCTCCCATATATATTTTCGTCCGATTTATGGTAAATTGTGCACCAAAGTCTCTAAACTTATTTCGATTTGCACGAAATTTGGCACAGCGTACTGAATTAGGCCTAGAATAATGTGTGCTAAGTTTCGTGAAAATCGGTTCAGATTTAGATATAGCTCCCATATATATTTTAGTCCGATTTAAGGTAAATGGTGCACCAAAGCCCTCAAATATCTTTCGATTTGCACAGCGTACTGAATTAAGCCTACATATGTGAAGGGTATCATATAGTCGGCCCAGACCGACTTTACTACTTTCCTTACTGGTTAAAAATACTGTTAAGAGTCCTCTTATAGGCGTGGATTTTTAAAAATATTTTTCTAAGACCCAATTATAGCAGAGATTTAAAAAAAATAGAATTTACATAAAAGCGAGAATCTAAAAAAAAAATTGAATCTTCATATGGACGAGATTTTTTTTAATTTAGAATCTACATATAGGCTTGGAATTTTTTAAAAATATTTTCAGCAGTCCACTTATAGGTGTGGATTTCTTCTACCTATTATTTTATTAGTAAACGAACGCACCTATTATGTCTATGCATACATCAATCTAATTAAAGCCAATCATACGTTGGCGTTTACGTTATGCTTTACGTTCTATATTAGGTTAATCCAAACAACAAATCGTTCATCAAGATTTTTTTCCACTTTGACAAAGACTAACCAATTAGCTCTTTTTGGACAATATTAAATAAGCGAAAAATATATAAATTTACAACTTATAAGGTATTGTATTATAATTGTATACATTTTACATATAAATGTAATAAAAAATAATATTCCGAAAACAGAAACCATCAATTAATTTATGAACAATGGATGAAACACAACGCCGCTGTAGTTTAGATCTTGATCCAGCATTTGAGCGCTTTGTCCTGAATAAAATCAAACAAAAAAAGTATCGACAACTGAATTCACCATCTGACGACTCTACTGACTCACAAAACTTGATTGTGGAAAAATCACAATTATTGAAGTCTCCAAAAATTGAAATTGGTAATTATGACGAATATTCAACACATAGTCCAATACATAATAAAAAACAAGGAGAACAAATTATAAATACATTGACTTTATCTGGGCGTAGATCGCCTCATTGTGGCGGGAAGCAGCGTACACCGATTATTGACACAACAAAACTGCATCCATTTAATATCGGAAATGATTTTGCCAAGTTATCGTCTGCGGCGATTACGCCACCACTTACATGCCCACAAATCTCCACAGTTTTCTAATTATTAGTTAAAATTATTTGTTATTGATTTGTTAGAAATAGTTAAATATATTATTGAAATATTTGAAATAAAGTTTGAACTTTTATTTGGATATTACTAAACACATGCTATTAGCTGCAATCAGATTGTTTTGGTTATATGACTTAGAAAACGGCTTGATGGTGCCGTAATATGTTTCCCCTCATATTACGGTACCCTCAAATATTCTACATTTAGGAACTTATTTTTGGGTTCTTACTGGGTTACAAATCTTCAAACAAATTTTTCGATATTGGTCCACTCTTTAGGGTGTGGCTAATTTGAATTAGACATTATCAATGGGTAGCAATTTTTTCTACAAATAAAAATAATCAATCTTGGCCGATATTTCAAGATAGCAGCCATAATATTCTTGACAAAATATTCTTTAAAAAATCGACTCAGTTGGCCCTTGACAAAATATTCTTTAATAAATCCACGCCTCAGTTGGCCCTTGACAAAATATTCTTTAATAAATCCACGCCTCAGTTGGCCCTTGACAAAATATTCTTTAATAAATCCACGCCTCAGTTGGCCCTTGACAAAATATTCTTTAATAAATCCACGCCTTTTTTGGGTACTTGACAAAATATTCTTTAAAAAATCCACGCCTATTTTGGGTACTTGACAAAATATTCTTTAAGAAATCCACACCTTTTTTGGGTACTTGACAAAATATTCTTTAAAAAATCCACGCCTATTTTGGGCCCTTGACAAAATATTCTTTAATAAATCCACGCCTCAGTTGGCCCTTGACAAAATATTCTTTAATAAATCCACGCCTCAGTTGGCCCTTGACAAAATATTCTTTAATAAATCCACGCCTCAGTTGGCCCTTGACAAAATATTCTTTAATAAAAATCCACGCCTATTTTGGGTACTTGACAAAATATTCTTTTTACTCAGTTGGCCCTTGAAAAATATTCTTTAATAAATCCACGCCTCAGTTGGCCCTTGAAAAATATTCTTTAATAAATCCACGCCTCAGTTGGCCCTTGAAAAATATTCTTTAATAAATCCACGCCTCAGTTGGCCCTTGAAAAATATTCTTTAATAAATCCACGCCTCAGTTGGCCCTTGAAAAATATTCTTTAATAAATCCACGCCTCAGTTGGCCCTTGAAAAATATTCTTTAATAAATCCACGCCTCAGTTGGCCCTTGAAAAATATTCTTTAATAAATCCACGCCTCAGTTGGCCCTTGAAAAATATTCTTTAATAAATCCAGGAAACGAGATAGACATATGGTTCCTTTTGAGGATCACTTTCTGAGTCGATTTACGCATGTCCGTCTCTCCGTCCGTCTGTCTGTCCCTCCATGTATTTTTGTGAACAAAGTACAGGTCGCATTTATGATTCGATTTGGGTGAAATTTGGCATAGGTCACTAATTTGGCCCAAGGACGAACCCTATTGAAATTGGGAAAAATCGGTTCAGATTTAGATATAGCTCCCTTATATATTTTTGTC